TTAATAGTTCCTTTTATAAAGTAAAAACCAAGGAAAAACTGTTTTTGATTAAAAAATATCACCGAAGAATACACTAGAATAACAAACGGGCATTTTTTCGACTTTTTTCCATTCTTACATATAGTTATGAAAATTTTCAAATTTTGGACATGTCACCGATTTTGATAAAACTACTGATATTTACTAATTAAGAGGTGTAGAATAAGAACATATAGGCCATTGCAGTCCTACGAGAACAAGAATAGATATAGAGGACGTTTTAAGCTTGATCAAAAATAGCTGAAAAAGAAGGGCCCAAAAATGTAATTTTCTCACAAAGTCAAAATATATGAATTTTCACAAGTATATATATTCTGAAGCTACATAAAATTTCCTACAAATGCTGAAATTTTCATAATTTTATGGCTATGATTACTATTTTTCTAAGGCCTTTGAAAATGTGTGAAAAATAGCCAAAAATAGGCATTTTTCAACTTTTTTCGTTACTCATACTCATGAAAATTGGCAATTTTGGTCATGTCACCGATTTTGATAAAACTACTGATATTTACTAATTAAAATGTGTAGAATAAGAAAATTTAGGCCATTGTAGTCCTACGAGAACAGCAATAGATATAGAGGACGTTTTAACCTTCATCAAAAATAGCTGAAAAATAAGGGTCCGAAAAATGAACTTTCTCGCAAAGCCATGATACCTAAGCCTTTGAGGTTTTGTATATTCTGAATCTACATAAAATTTCCTACAAATTCTAAAACTTTCATAATTTTATGACTATGTTTATTATTTTTCTGAGGCCTTTGAAAATGTGTAAAAATTAATTAGCCAAAAATGGGCAAAAAATTAATTTTCTCACGAAGCCAAAGTATATAAGCCTTTAAAGTTGTATATATTCTGAATCTACATAAAATTTTCTACAAATGCTGAAACTTTCATAATTTTATGACTACGTTTACTATTTTTTTGAGGCCTTTGAAAATGTTTAAAAATTAATTAGCCAGAAATGGGCAAAAAATTAATTTTCTCACAAAGCCAAGGTACCTAAGCCTTTAAAGTTGTATATATTCTGAATCTACATAAAATTTCCTACAAATTCTGAAACTTTCATAATTTTATGACTATGTTTATTACTTTTCTGAGGCCTTTGAAAATGTGTAAAAATTAATTAGCCAAAAATGGGCAAAAAATTAATTTTCTCACAAAGCCAAGGTACCTAAGCCTTTAAAGTTGTATATATTCTGAATCTACATAAAATTCCCTACAAATTCTGAAACTTTCATAATTTTATGACTACGTTTACTATTTTTTTGAGGCCTTTGAAAATGTGTAAAAATTAGCCAAAAATGGGCAAAAAATTAATTTTCTCACGAAGCCAAAGTATCTAAGCCTTTAAAGTCGTATATATTCTGAATCTACATAAAATTCCCTACAAATTCTGAAACTTTCATAATTTTATGACTACGTTTACTATTTTTTTGAGGCCTTTGAAATAGTGTAAAAATTAATTAGCCAAAAATGGGCAAAAAATTAATTTTCCCACAAAGCCAAAGTACCTAAGCCGTATAAAGTGTACATAAAATTTACATAAAATTTCCTACAAATCCTGTGAATTTTCATGTAAAAATGAGAAAATGATAGTCAATTTTTCGACTTTTTCCCAAACATGTAGTCATGAAAATTGGTTATCGTTGTCGAAGATGTTACAGTATAGGCACAGTTTAAAGAATATAAAATATATATTTTATATTCTTTAAACTGTGGTATAGGGACTATTGATGGTTTGGCGTAATACATTTATTTGCTACGTAACAAAATATAGTACGAGAATGAGCCTACTAACGACACTGTATATAATTCACTTAAAATTCAAGTACATACGACCGTTTTATTTGTTTACGCATAAAAAACAAAAGGTATTAAGACGTCTGTATGTAGGCTTTTGTCATTGATTCGAAATCTATATCTAAATACGAATTTTTGACGCCGTCATACGCACGAGCCTAATAAATTGTACGGCACATTATTAAAATGTTACATTTTAATTTAAAGCATGTGTAAATACACACACGGGTCTTATCACTGTCGACCTTGAATTGTTTATAAATATTTATCATAAAAGAAACAATACAGCATAAATATATCCTACTTTTCAAATAAAATAATTATACGGTTATCTAACAACATTATCTTTTCGAAATTAACCGGATAATTTAATAATCTTTTTCGATAGAAATTTTATAAAAGTATTATGTTATTTCGTGTTTGATAAAGGCACTTTTACAAATTCATTCAGTTAGATTAATATTATAATGATGAATATATTACGAAAAATTGGCATTATATTTAATGAAAATGACAGTGAAAATCACTGCAACGAGAGGAGTAATGTTTAACAGCTTAAAAATAGTTTTAAATGTACATTGTCGTCTATTTAAACATATTTCGAAAATTGTTTATCTGTTTGAGTTGGGTTTAAGCAAAACCGTTCGATACAGTTTGAACAAGCTCTGCTGTAGGATCTCGGACGATTTTTATACACAAGGTCGTCTAAAACGCTAAGTCCACATTTTGTATATTTGTGCTGTATAAATCAATAATGAATTTATTAATGTTTGTTTGTTGTTACATAAAGTCGATGTCTCCATTTTGGTTGTTGGCTCGGGCTTTTTTAAACATTGTCACAAACTAATATGGATTCGATTCATTGGTAGATAAGCATAAAACATTGTAGCTCTATTTAGTATTGTTTTACATTCATATCACTTAATGCTACGAAAAAAAAACAAAAATGGGTATTTTCCGAGTTTTTTCCATACATATAGTCATGAAAATTGGCGTTTTTCGTCATAGATTTTGTTAAAACTGCTGTTCAAAAAAATATTTTTTTTTCGATTTTTTTTTCGTAGAGTGATCCTTCTAGTATTTATACTACATTTTTTGTCTCTTGTAAAAAAACGCCAAACAAAAATGTTTTTGTCCATCAAGCTATGGCGGCGAATAAAATCTATTATGCTTTAATAATCTAGTTGACGAAAATATTAAATTTTATGTTAGTGCCACAAATTATATTTGACAATAAGCTTCATAGAAAGCTTAAAAAATAATAAATTTTAAATTAATTAACGTTCGGGTTTATTGATGCTCTCTAACGGTCAAACAAAGCACTTTTGTATTAAGGTAAATCATTATTACTCAATAAGTAGTAGTTCTATGACCACGGAATACTGGGACACCCTGTATATTATCATATATAAATGTATGGCTGATACAGTAAATTCCGAAACTAATTGCGGGTGATCAGCGGTCGAAAGTTACAAATTCCGAAAATATCTAATCTCGGACGGCATCGGGGGGACCGGAATCTTTAGAGAAAAGAAAATTTAGCAAGAAAAAAGGGCAATATAAGCCGCCCTTTGGGTTTTAAATCTCTCGGAGAATGCTTTTTCAGTGTTGTCCCGAGCTATCCCAGACTGTCGAACTTATTATGATGCCATTATGGCGTAAACACAAACAAGGGTTACGATATTTACGACTGGAAAACCAAAGGTCCCCCATAAGTAATTGCCTAAGCGGTTTTCCGTCTTTTTTTATACCGTTTTTCTCGTTTTTTGGTTTTATTTTTTCGCAACTACACGTTTCTGATTCTCTGAATACTTTGAAATGCCTTTTTTTGTCATCTTAACAATCGTTCAGAGGTAAGGGTTGGAAGAATTGATTTTTTCACCAAACCAGAGCTTTTAAGTCCTTAAGCGTTAGTATATTTTAAATCTACATGAAATGATCTACAAGTACTGAATTTTTTAAAGTTTTATGACTAGTTATACTATTTTTTAAAGAATTTTGAAAATATAAAAATTTCAGGAACTATTCAAAAATAAGGGTTGAAGAAATCATTTTTTTTACAAAACCTAAACAATAAATCTTTAAAAGTTTATATATGTTCTAAAAGTACATAAAATTCCCTACAAACCCTGAAATGTTCATAACTTTATCACTATTTTTACTATTTTTCTAAGCGCGTTGAAAAGATTCCAAAAAGGCCGACAAATTTTTGACTTTTTTCTATACATGTAGTCATGAAAATTGACGATTTTCATCTTGTCACCGTTTTTGTTAAAACTGCTATTATTTACTAATTAAGAGGTGCAGAATAAGCAAATATAGCCCATTGTAGTCTTACGGGTACGGTTTTAGAAGTAGATAAAGGTTTTTTCATCATCAAAAACTGTGCAAAAACAAGGGTTCAAAAAAATAAGTTTCTAACAAAACCAAAAATATTAAACATTTAAAATTTCCTACAAATCCTGGAATTTCGATTTTTTTACGAAACTATAGCAACTTAAGCTAAATGTTGAAGTACTGTAAATCTACATAAAATTTTCTATAAATACTGAAATTTTCTAAATTTTCGGAGTTCACTTACTGATTACTAATACCATCGAAAACATAATTTAAATAAATAGACAAAAAATTAGTTGACAGCTTATTTTCATTATAATATTTTAAAATTCAGCAAGTTTATGAAGGTGTGACCCTGTCTATCAGTGAAGGAATTGTCTCATATTTTCTTTTTTTTTATTTAAAATAGCGGAAGAATACGAGGACGGTATATCAGTTAGGGTGAATCCCCGGGAAAATAAAATATATGTTTGTTTCCCGACCCTTGGCGCAAAGGAAATTTTAAAGACTGTATATAATTTTAAAGTCGTTTCTTTTATCTTTTTCGGGTTTATATCTGTAAAATATTCCGTATTAACTTTTCCTCTAGGGGAAGTTATGCGCTTTCCCGCCTCGAATTTTCACACTTTGGAAACTTCAGAAATAACGATGTTGTTCTGAATTAAATGGTCTGTTATTTCTCCGTCCGGAAATATACCTTTCCATCGCCAGCTAGATGTCCATAGTTCACCCTTTACGGTCATAGAGATGATTACACGAAAAAATAATGCAAGGGTGACCCAACATTTTTTTTGACTGTATTAAAAATCGAAAATACACTTACACTAAATCGGGAATGTCTGATGGTCGAGGGCCAAGGACTAGTCGCTGCAGGATAGTGACCCTTCGACCAACCTACTGCACTTTCGTAGGGTACTTCGCCTATATGGCCCTAAAAAAATAATTAAAACACAGAATTAGTACAAAAAATCTTACCAAATTCAGAAGATTGTTCTGAGATAGTTTCAGACAAGGTGTCAATTCAAAGAAGGATTCTTTGTTAAAAATAAAGGCTCCGTCTAGAACACTGACTACCTCAAACTTTGTTTACTATCACAATAAAAGATGGCGTGGTATCAGAGCACTTTATCCCATATTTGAAATTCATCCTTAAAAAAATATGAAAGAATATCTTTTCTATAAATATCTTAATAAATACGAACATTTTTTAAACAAACAAATATGTTGTTTACACAAATACTTATCAGTTTCGCCTTGCTTTTTTGAGACTCTTAAATCGCTACATTGTCTGTATTGCGGGACCTATACAGTGTGATCAATTATTTATCAAATTAAAAACTGCCATAATCAGAGTTGACTAATATAATATACACACTTTTGAATAAGTATTTATTTTACAAATTAGTAAAGTAGATTCTTTTTTTACTCTCAAATCTCAATGAGAAGGTTGAATGATAGAAAATATTTAATCAGTTTATTTTTTCTTATCTAGAGATAAACATAGCACGTGTAGGGGTCTCTCAAATAATAATGTTATTTAGAGGAAAAGAAGTTTTTTAATTATATAGCCCCAATTCATCTCTGATTAATTAAATCATCCTAATATTAAGGGATCCTTCGACTATAAAGCAGGGTTCGAAAAAAATCATGATTTTTTTTTAAAAATCAAAAAAATCTGATTTTTTATTTAAATGGCATTTTTTTGATTTAAATCAGATTTTTTTGATTACTGGTTGTTATTATTTGCAATGTTTGAAATTGATTAAAAAATTATTTGTAATGTTTTAAAAAAAATAGTGTTTTATTCGGAGTAAAAATGTACTTTTTGTGCCTCCTTGTAACGTCGGAATAGTTTTACGATGGTCCTTCAAATGTACAGCGTCGTCAAAAAAAAGTATAATTTCTACTCTTAATAAAACAATACACTATTGTTCGGAAATAGTCTTAAGTAGAGAATGAAATTAGTATTATCTAATGTCAAAGTGTAAAGTACTTACTGCAAATAAAATGTCGGTAAAAATTTGGAAACATACCAACGTTTCAAAAAAAAATATATAAAACAACATATTTTCTGACAACTATTATAGATTTTCGGGAATGAAGATATAGTCTATATCAGAAGAATCTAGTTCTGGCACTAGTCGGCGAATGTGTATTCGAAAACCGAATTTTTTATAAATAAATTTTAAAGTAAATTCCTGCGTTTAGCGGTCTTATGGATCCACACGAAATTACTTCAAAAATCGGTTCAACATTTAAATTGATGAATAGATATTTTTATATAGTTTTATAAAATTTACAATTAATTTTCGATTTATTATCTGTTATAGAAATATTTTTTATAGTTTTCTAGGATAGATTTTTATAACTTTTACAGTTATTTTTTGATTTATTATAAAGTTTCAATAAAATTATTTTTTTGATTTAAATCACATGATTAAAATTAAAAAAATCACTTGATTTAAATCATGATTTAAATCATTTTGACCCTGCTATAAAGTAATAGATGCACAATTTTATAGGACCTCTAACACATCTTGAATATTTTTTATTCTATGCCATATTATATGTATTTTAAGCAATGTTACGCCGCTGGTCGTAATTCAAAGTGGCGATTCCAGGATATTCCAGAATATCGGACAAAGCGTATCCCGGACTGAGTCCGGAACTAAACGGGAAGGAACATCGCTATGTTTTATAGCGTAGAAAGGGGGCGTTTACACAAATGAAATTATAATATCTTTTTCGACTAAACGCAATGTCCCGTATAAATTTCCTTTCCGACATTAAACTTATAAAATATAAACCTTCAGCTCTCGGCGTCAGCGCTATTCTTTCGCCTAGTCCTCCACCTTTCTCACAGGCGAAGAGATAAGAAAGATATATATATTTTGGGTTTCTAGTTGCTGACAGCCCCAACAGTTCGCATTTTCTCAATAAAAGTGTTCATTGAATTAACAATCATGTTCATGTATTACCATCACTGTACTAGAGACCCTAAACTCTTATTTTATTATAAATCTATATTAAATTTAGTATATGATTACCAAAATGTTTAAATATTTTTGACTGCCTTTATTTTCTAAAAGCTTTTAACAAATTTAAACCGTTCAGAACAAAAGTCCGAAAAATCGATTTTCTTAGAAAACCAAAGCATTTAAGACTGTAACTGTTTATTTACTCTAAATCTACATCAAATTTTCTATCAGTTCTAAAATTTTCGTAATTTTATAACTGTGTTTACTATTTTTGCAACAGCTGAAGAAAAAAGCCCAAAAATAGTCAATTTTTCGACAATGAAAATTTTTGAATTTCCTCATGTCACGGATTTTGTAGAACCTGCAGTTACTTTTTAATTAAAAAGTGTTGAATAAAGAAAATATAGGCTATTGTAGTCCTACGAGAATAGTAATTGATGTAGGAGACTTTTTAACCTTTATAAAAAATAGCTGAAAAATAAGGGTCTAAAAAATTAATTTTCTCACAAAGCCAAGGTATCTAAGCCTTCAAAGCTGTATATATTCTGAATCTACATAAAATTTTCTACAAATTCTGAAACTTTCATGATTTTATGACTGTGTTTACTATTTTTCTTAGGCCTTTTGATATATGTAAAAAAAGCCAAAAATTAGCTCATGAAAAATTGATGATTTCCGTCATGTCACTGATTTTGTTAAAACTGCTGTTATTTACTGACTAAAAAGTATAGAATAAGAAAATGTAGGCTATTGTAGTCCAACGAGAACAGCAATAGATATTGGAGATATTTTAACCTTTTCAGAAATAGCTGAAAAACAAGGATCCGAAAAATTAACTTTCTCGCAAAGCCAAGAGGTTCTAAGCCTTCAAAACTGTATACAGGGTTGTTCACCACATACGACACGGAGTATTGTAGCTAAACGATGAGATTTTTACAAATTGTAAGTTTGGGGTTCGTTGGAGGACTATTAGAGCTACAATTTAAAAATATTTTTACAAGATACAGAGTGTCCCAAATAAATAAAAAATATCAAAGTTGTATTTTTTTAAATGGAACACCCTGTATATTATTACATTTTTAGTTTCTACGATTAAAATAAAGGTAAATTTGATTAAGGTTTATTATACTTAAACCTTACCGTTTTTTGAAATATTTTCAATTTTGTGAAATTGCAGTAAAATTTTAAAGCTTCATTTCTCCAAGGGTATCAATGTTTTTAATACTAAATATTTAATGAAGTTTATTTATTGATCCGTTATTGTGTTGCAATAATAAAAATAATACTACCTTATACAGAGTGTCTAAACATTTATTTTAAATAATTATTAGCTTCAAACGGCAATAACTTCTTTAATTTAAATAGAATGCCCTGTATATTTTAGGAGAATCAGATGCACAATTAAATTGTTCATCAAATTGTATTATACCATTTTTACCTACCCCTTCAAGTTTTCGTAGAAAATGCATTTTCTTATAATTTAGACCTCATTTATCAATATATCCATGGAATATTGACATTTTAGATTGTTTTAAAGCAACAAATGTACAAAATGTACAGACTAGTAATATTATCGTTTTTAGCAAAACGATAATATTACTAGCCCATTTGTATGTAAATAGAAAACTATTTAAATCTTTATAAAAGAGTATACCATTAATTAAATATAACACCATTATTTCCGCCCATATACTAATAAATAAATGTGGATTTGAGTCAGAAATCAATAAATAAGCATTTATTAAAAAATGAAATATCATTTTTAAGGTGTTACTTTTTATCACACTGTCTAATGCCCATACAAAATTCAGTTTTTTAGTATTTGGAGCAATTATTATTAATCAACGCAAACAGTCAGTTAATGTAGTTTGAATACTGGAATCATATTAATTGGTCCTCTTTAACAAATATTTAAACAGTTTTTTTTTATTTTTTAATAAAATAAATAAGTTATATCGACAATATTAGTATCTGTACTCTTTAAAAATTTGGTACATCTTTAAAAATAATCTAAAATGTCAATAGTCCATGGGTATATTGATAATTAAGTTCTAAATTACAAGAAAATGCATTTTCTACGGCAACTTAAAGAGATAGGTAAAAAATGGTATAATATAATTTGATAGACAATTAAATTGTGCATCTGATTCTCGTAAAATATACAGGGTGTTCCATTTAAATAAAACAAGTTATTGCCGTTTGAAGCTAATAATTATTTAAAATAAATTTTTAGACACTCTGTATAAGGTAGTATTATTTTTATAATTGCAACACAATAACTGATCAGTAAATAAACTTCAGTAAATATTTAGTTTTAAAAACTTTGATACCCTTGGAGAAATGAAGCCTTAAAATTTTTACAGCAATTTCACAAAATTGAAAATATTTCAAAAACGGTAGGTTTAAGTATAATAAATCATAATCAAATTTACCTTTATTTTAATCGTAGAAACTAAAAATGTAATAATATACAGGGTGTTCCATTTAAAAAAATACAACTTTGATATTTTTTACTTATTTGGGACACTCTGTATCTTGTAAAATTACTTTTAAATTGTACCTCTAATAGTCCTTCATCGAACCCAAATCTTACAATTTGTAAAAATCTCATCGTTTAGCTACAATACTCCGTGTCGTATGTGGTGAACAACCCTGTATATTCTGAATCTACATAAAATTTCCTACATATTCTCACATTTTCATAATTTTTTTGTGTATGTTTAATATTTTATCTAAGTGCTTCAAAAACATTAATACAAAATTAATACCATGAATTAGTAAAATGATATTGTTTTCTTCTCGTGTTTTATTTATAAAATAAAAGCTTGCAGCTCTAAGCGTTATTTTTTTAGCTTTTCTTCCTTGTAAGGTGAAAGATAAGAAAGGCCTTGTTGTCTTTTACTCGTTTTTTTATATAACAAACTCCAAACTCTTTTCACTGTTTATGAAGGCGCATTTCTCAGGAACAGGGGATTTGTAGAAATGTTTCAAATTAAACACATCTAGACAGTACGGGCTGTTTATCCTTGAAAGACGCACAAGTACGTGTTTGTCGTGAGATTTGAAAGAAAACATTGACACCTGCAAAAGGGTAAATAGTCATATATGATGTCGACGTGCCATATTAAAACAAAAACGACTTGAATTTTTCCCGGCTCTCTTGACTCAGGCCTTTTTCAACTGCTGATCTTTGCTTTCTATATTAAAAAGTCGTAAGATATAATATGTTGTTGTTTTACCAATTATATACTTTGTTTTCTTGCAGACCAGACTTTGCTGATTCTACAGAACAGGGGTTCGTGCTGATCTTAGAATGGTAATAAACAGTCAAGAGAACCCTCGTAAATAAACAAATAATGAATCGCCAAATTTAAGGTAAGGTATAGAATAAAACGCGGTCTTAAAATTTTGAAAATCTTGGTGGGTGATGCGATTTTTTAAACACATCTCGTTCGCGGTATCAATATCGTCGCTCGTCGCGATGACTGATTCTGAGTGCGGCTGTTAAATAAAAATAATTTTGCAATCATCCTTCAATTCTATGGTGTATTTAGAAAAATTAAAAACTATTGAAGAAGGACCTCCAAAGCATATTTTGAATATTAATACTAAATTAAAATCGTGCATTCGTGATTTTAGTGAAAATGTTAATAAAAGTCAATACTGGTTATGTGGTTGTAACGCACTCATTTTTTGTTGGTCTTGTCTACTATTTTGTGTAACATACGTTCACAGCTAAATTTAGGTCTTTTTTTAAATTGGTTTGATTCTTTTTTTTACATGTTACATATTATTATATCAAAGAATGCATACACAAAGCAGCTTCTGAGGTCCTGGGTACGATCGACAATAATGAAAGGAAAAGGAAGCCTTACTGGTGGGACTTGGATATACAGGATATTATAGAGGATAAAAGACGCAAATATACAAAATACTTGAGCACCATGAAGATCGAAGACAAACTAATATATAAAAAAGCCCAAGCTAAAGTACGAAGAGAAATATGCCAGAAGAAAAATCTGATATGGGAAAAGAAGTGTAATCAACTAAACACATATGTAGAAGGTAGAAGAAGCACAGAAAGTTAGAAATTTATAAAAAATGTCAGAAAGGGAAAAGGCAAAGAAATCATCTCCCCGATTACACCACAAAAATGGGAAGGATACATGGAAAATCTTATGACGGAAAATAGAGTCGAATTTATGGACTGCCCTGACGTGACGACAAATATAAGAACAATGGGATCCCCGATTAGAATATCAATGGACGGAGTAATTAAGGCATCTACCTTACTAAAAAATCGTAAAGCACCCGGACCGGGAAATATACCGGCAGAGTTAATTAAATCAGGACCGAAAAAACTGTACGAACACTTAAGGAAGATATTCCAGGACTGCATAAACGGAACGGATGCGCCACAAGAATGGAATGAGGCTTACCTCTCAACTATATACAAAAAGGGAGATCGTACTAAGTGCGAAAACTGCAGGGGAATATCAGTAACAGCCACTGTGAGTAGAATATATGGAAAAATTTTGACAAATAGGATCGAAAACGAATACCAAGAAATAGAAGCCGAAGAACAAGCAGGATTTAGGAGCCGGAAGATCGACGGTGGACCACTTATTTACAGTCACTCAAGTAATAAGTAAAGAGCAATATAAACCAAGAGCTACATCTTGTGTTCGTGGACCTGCAGAAGTCATACCACAGCGTTCCCCTTGGATTTACTGGAACCAAAGGTCTGAAACAGCAGTGCTGTATTTCACCAACACTGTTCAAGATATATCTCGAACAAGTTCTCCAAGGTTGGAAGCAAAATATGAAATATGGGAGTACCCATAGGGGATAACATGCTCTACACACTTTGCTTCGCGGACGATCAGGTGATCATAGCACAAGATTACGATGACATAAATTATATGACACGTAAGTTTATAGAAGAATATCAGAAATGGGGACTCGAGATCAATACTAACAAAACAGAATATATGTGTATCGGAGGAGAACAACAAGATCTAATACTAGAAGAAGGGAAGAAAATGAAGTGCTGCACAAAATACAAATATTTGGGTATGCAAATCACAAATGATGGACTGTTGGATACAACAATTAAAGAACGAAACCAACTTGGAAGAAATGCTATCACGGTATTGAATGGGATACTGTGGGACAGAAGCATAAACAACAAGAACAAAACTCTAATATACATTAGCATCATAAAGAGTATAACCACGTACAGCTGTGAAGTCTGGCCAATTAAGGAAACAACAAAACGAATGCTGGAAGCTACAGAGATGGATTTTTGGAGAAGATCAGAAGATCAACTAATGAACGCATAAGAGAGATTATGGAAGTTAAACACACGATAGTGGACGACATAAAGAACAGTCAACTCATATGGTACGGGCATGTCCAAAGAATAGCAGAAATAAGAATCCCAAAGCAAATTATAAACTGGAAACCTGCAGGAAAATCAAGACTCGAGCGAATAACTAATGAACGCATAAGAGAGATTATGGAAGTTAAACATACGATAGTGGACGACATAAAGAACAGTCAACTCATTGGGTACGGGCATGTCCAAAGAATGGCAGAAATAAGAATCCCGGAGCAATTATAAATGGAAGAGATGGCAGGAAGAAGACGTTGACCGGGTAGACCGAGAAGAAGTTGGCAGGTGCAGGGATTGCACACGTTTATGGAGGAAAGATCTATCGGAGACGGTGCATGGAGAGATGGCATATATAGACGTAGAACGTTTATAAATATATTATATATATATATACATATCTTGTATATTTTATTCTTTAACTTCAAAAATTAAAGACTTTAATAAAAAAAGAAAAAAACTTTATTATGTTGGTAAAATGTTCAACTCGGCAAGTATCGAAACATATCCTGTCTAAGTAGTCTAGAAAAAACTTAATAAAAAAACTCTTAATAAAAAATACTATGAAATGAGCAGGTTATAAGGGTGGGTGGGCTTTAAATTCCACGATTGTGCAAATTATTGCTGACAAAAATGCTTTCTTATAAGGAAATTTATTATGCTTAAAGCCTTTAGCGTATAGGGTGCTAAATATCGCCTCGAAAGCTTAAACACTCTCCAGATAAGACCCCTAATATGTTCCTTTAATTTTTTACCCGTAGCTCTTTTATGTGCGAGGGCGCCACCAAGCAATCGGGATTTCTCACATAGCCCTGCAGAAGGAAATATGAAAAATTTAATAAAAACAACAATGGAACTGTAGTAAACCTCAAAAAATCACCCGTTCTTTCAAAAGTTACTTACTATGAGGGTTGTCTTTTATATTTTGCATATAGAGGTAGAAAAAAAACAGTAGATAATTTTTAAACATTATTCTCCACGAAGAGAAATGCAATTTTGCATCCGTTGGAACCAATTCTGAAAGCAACTATTCTAGTTGCTTATTGGTATCTCGAAATTTGTGTTTTTGAAGGCGTTGACTGCATCTTCTGAGGAGTGGAACCTTTGTCCACGGAGTTCATTCTTAATTTTTGTTAAAGTAATGTACCAATCAGTAGTAACAATTTTTTGATCTTGCAGAGGAATTATTGCAATATTATTGAGTTGCCTGCGTTAAACCAGTGTTGAGTTTTTTGTCACCAATTTGGCTCTAATTATTGTTTTCTGTTCTTCCATCAACAAATGCCGTATCCAAGTATTTTTTTCTATATAACTCTATATCAAAATAAAACACTAAATTACTACAATACACCAAAAGACTTTTACTTATACACTGGATGCGCGTTTCGCTACATGGTTAGCGAAACCCATCATCGGCAGATGATTAAAACTCAGTTTATTAAAACTTAATTTAATCATCTCCTGATGATAACACAGTTAGCGAAACGCGCGTCCAGTGTAAAAGTAAAAGTGTTTTGGTGTATTGTGGTGATTTAGTATTTTATTTTGCTGTTGTAACAGCAAAGGTTCCAACCCCCAACTGTAATAATTATTCTTCATGTAAAAGTTTTTGAATTGAGGTCTTTGCAATACTCAGTGATGATTAAATTTCACGATATGTGACATATGTCGATCTTCTTGGATCAGCTTACGTATAGCATTGACTCTTCTTGGGTGACTGACGTTTCGTAAGACCTGTTATTGGATCGTCGTTATGACCAATCCGTCCATGTTTAAATTCACCATACCAACGAGAAATTGTTGACTGATGTGGGGCTTCATTGCCGAAAACAGAAACCAACTCTTCAAGCCATTCTTGTTGAGACAATTGTTTTGGAAAATTATGAAAGATTATTCAGCGAAAATTTTTTTGGCTAAACTTCAAAAATTCAGTTAGCTTTAAACGAAGCAGTCTAAAACTTTAATGTCAAGTAAAGATGGCAGCTAATTTTGACATTTGATAGATGTTGACAGGCGCCTACTATGTTTCTATATGCTAAATATAAAAGACAACTCTCGTATTTTCAAAGTGTGAAAGAGAAATAAGAACCTGATACGCAGTGTGGCCCGTTGATTACTTTATACGTATAGAGAGATCAGAAGAATGCTGAACTAAGCAAGCATTTTTGTGTCTCACAGTGGGGATTTAACCAAAACGCCCCCTAACGGTCGGAATCAAAGAGGGTCGAACTAGAATATTTAACATTTTTCCTTGTTGAGGCGAGCTGTTACCAATTAGTGGTTAAGTCTGAGATGCCACCAGGCTTTTATACAGGGTTGACCATTGTTAACACCTTCTCTACGTTCTTTCGTGTTCTTCGTTATTATGCATTAAGATGCTTTGACCCAACATATACAAACAAAATGTAAACAAATCGTTTGTTTATTTACAGTAATCTACATAACATTTCCTGCAAATGCTGATATTTTCGTAATTTTATGACTACGTGTGCTATTTTTCTAAGGCCTTTGAAAATTAGTAAAAAAATAGCCAAAACTGGTCAATTTTTCTACATTTTTCCATACGATTTTAGTCATGTGATGGATTTTGTTAAAACTGTTGTTATTTACTAATTAAAAGGTGCATAATAAGAAAATGTAAGCCATTGTAATCCTACGAGAACAGTACATTAAAAGGTGCAGAATAAGAAAATGTAGACCATTGTAATCCTACGAGAATAGTAATACATATAGCAGACGTTTTAACCTTTATCAAAAAAAGCTGAAAAACAAGGGTCCAAAAAAACAATTTTCTCACAAAGCCAAGGTAGCTAAGTCTCTTCAGAGGTTCAACTCATTCTGAATCTACATAAAATTTCCTTCTAATGCAGAAATTTTCAAAAATGTGTCACAAAAAACTATGTCACAAATTACCTATAACAGATGCGAAAGAAAGCGACTGCATGGGAAACCGTTCGGCAAACCCGACACGCCTATTGAGTGG